CGTATCAGAATCTTTTACATTCTGGTCCTGCCGGAAGGGGTTACACACGGTAACCCCTTCCGGCAGGACCAGAATGTAAAAGACCGTGCACCGTGTGTCACCCCCTCCCGCGAACACTTTTACCGATAATGCAGGTTTTTTCCAACCTTTCTAGATGGCAATCAAATGCACTACAGGTGAAGCGGCCGATGCTCTTTTATAGCTTTCAGAGGTGGGCGTGGCTTCGAAGCGATATTGAAGGAGAGCGCAGAGAAAAAATGTGCGGAATTTTTTTGCTGAGCACAGGGCATTAAGGGCGCTACGGAAAAAATGCTCGTATCGGCACGACCCCCTGTCGCAAGGTGGTATAGACAATACTCTCCTTCAATCACGAGTTGTACTAAATTAATTAAGCGAATTACTGCTACTTGTTTCAGCATTGTCGCGGTCGCGTCGCGTATCGTGCTATTCTCTGAATGCAGCAGATCAGGTGCGAGCTCGAATGCATACCCTATTACCCACGATTTGCCCTAGCGGGATGTTTTCCCAACTTCTAGAATTAATTGACTTTTGGTCAGCGCTTTCTCTCAAGGAAATTTTTTCAAGGAAGATTCTTTTAAGAAGCTCGCTGACAAGCAAGCTGTAAGAACAATGAGATCTGTAGCTCCTTCAGCTTACTTGCGACATCCTTTTCTATTACCATCTATTACTACTAAGGCAAATGTAGTAATGTAAACGCTACTACTACTAGTATTACGCGCTGTGCCAAACCCAGCCACTTCCCCTCCCCTGACACGCCCAGCATTACCGAGCAAGACTGCAGTTCCAATGAGTAAGGAATAAGTAATTTATAAACTGATATGGAGCGAGTTACATGTTGAAGTACTGATAGTAATACTGCTCACCTGCGACCGTAGATCGGTTTTACGTTCACTCATCATTTCTGACGCGATGTACTCGTTGAGCTGAAAGTTAAATTTCAAAGCTACCGCTAGCGAATAAGCATACCTCAAATAACCGATTCACACACCATTCGGTCCCATGTGGAAAGCGTTAATTACAACAATTGATTCGCCCAACTTCACGTATAACGGTCGCATATTGTTGAAATCGTGAACAACTTCCATTGACGGCGGCCATCAATTTGAGGAGTTCCTTGCAGGGATCTTCATCTTGCACAGATTCGACAGTCTCATCGAAGAAGTCCTTAGCATTTTGCTGAAAAGGGAATTCCCTAATCTAACAGTAATGGACAAGGAGTAGAACACAGAGTACAACGTTAGGACAATCCCTCATGGGGGGGGAGAGGTCGTAATCAGGGAACGCTCTACGCTGGGGATCCCAGCAATAAATGTTGAATTTGGTTGCTGGAGGGAGGGGAATCGTATTTGCCTCCGATAAAAATGTTGCCAGTTGTTAGGTTTTCCCGCTTTTTCCCGTTTCTTGTCAGCTATAAACATCCACCACCGCACCAGTCCCCCTCCTACTCGGCATTTCCATAGGGAAAAATGAAGAATTTCCGAAAAATAACACCGCTCAAAAGATAGGAAGTTGGGGACATTTAAAAAGGTGGCAAGTAGCATGGGGCATATGAAAGACGGGTTGTAACAGATGTGGAATTTTCGAAGGATGAGGTGAACTTTTGAAAAAATTCCTCCGACTGCAGGACGTGCCCTGGCCATAGTTTAACCCTGGGGGGGGGGGGGGGCGAGGGGGAAGATGAAGTTGCTTTTGAGACAAGTTCTCCAAGCTGTGACAATACTTTCCCGGCTGCTGACTTTTCACGGTTTCCCCCGTTCCATGTGCGCTTCATAACCTTCCTCACCCTTCCCCGACGGCAAATTATGAGTAACCGAAAAAGTTTAAAACTGGTAGGGTATTACGAGGATGTGAGATGATGGTAGGTACATATACTCCCTATCCCTGAGCCAGAGTAGGCGTGGCATTTGAACATGGCTGGTTAATCGTGGAATATTCCAGTCTGGGACAACTGTCATCTTGTTCTGTGTTGGACAGAGACACGACAACAATTGTGTCAAGATGAAAATATCTCACCAGAAGCATAGACACCTTCAGGTTAAGTTGAAACATGCGGCCACGCCTACCCGATCTCAGGGATTTCGAGTATAGAAGAGGAGCGGGACGTACCAGATGAGGAAACCAGGGAGCGGGGGTCGTACCAACACCGCTGATCCACGCATCACGATGCTGAACCCTGGTAAAACATTGTGATGACACACAATTGTGAGTGACTCCAGATGAGCGTGGAAGGCCGTTTGTAGGGCAGATATTTGTGGTACAAATGTGACATTTATTTTTCGACACCAGCGCCATTTAGCGCTCTTCTACGGCTGAGCCTGGAAGAGGGAGTGATCCCTTTAGGCCAGGGTCAGCTTAGCAAAGCGCAGATGACCATAGTGTCCTATGTTAGCGCCGGCGCCAAGAATAAATGTCATGTCCGTAATCAGGATGTCAAATGACCTCTGTATACAAGTTTGCAACGGATTTGATAACCTAGGATCTTGAAGTGCCGGCATCTGCGGCGCGGGCGCCAGCTGTTTCAGTCTAAGCGGATAGGATATTCATGTTCAGAGGATCAAACTACCTCTGGGGACAAGTTCTAAGCGAATCCGATGGTTTAGGTTATTTTGGCTAAGTTCTCACCGATTTTGTTGACCACCCGTGCAATATGTTCGCAGAGAAGTGTTGCGGAGCGCCAGCATCTTTGATAATTATAACATATCGCAATCTTTACATTCTGCTTGCGCGGAAGGGGCTACACGCGGTAATTCCTTCCCGCGAATACTTTTGACCAATATTGCAGGTTTTTATTCCAACCTTTTTGGCAGCAATACACGACTAATGCTGAAGCGGCGATGCTCTTTTATAGCTTTCAGAGGTGGGCGTGGCTCGAAAGCGATATTGAAGGAGAGCGCAGAAAAAAAATGTGCGGAATTTTTTTGCTGAGCACAGGACATTAAGAGTGCTACGGAAAAAATGCTCGTATCGGCACGACCCCCTGTCGCAAGGTAGGTATAGACAATACTCTCCTTCAATCACGAGTTGTACTAAATTAATTAAGCGAATTACTGGTACTTGTTTCAGCATTGTCGCGGTCGCGTCGCGTATCGTGCTATTCTCTGATCGTAGCAGATCAGGTGCGTACTCGAGTACCCTATTACCCACGCCTAACGGGATGTGTTCCCAACTCTAGAACTGATTGACTTTTGGTCAGCGCTTTCTCTCAAGGAATCTTTTTCAACAAGATTCTTTTAAGAAGCTCACTGACAAGCAAGCTGTAAAAACGATAAGATCTGGAGCTCCTTCAGCTTGCTTTCGACATCCTTTTCTATTACTATCTACTACTACTGAGGCAAATGTAGAAATGTAAACGCTACTACTACTACTAGTATCACACTACTTTTTATTACATATCATAACAGCGAATTCTGAACCGTTTCAAAGTGCTCGTTGTGGACAACGTTTGTGATAGCAAATTTTTACCATGATTTACTGTCAGGCGATGTTACAGAGGAGTTGTACCCATGCAGTTCTCGTCTCAACATTGGCTCTCTAGTTTCCACAGTAATGTTTGTTCTACTTCGGAGGATGATTTCACAATTTGTAACTAGGTTTTGGGAGAAAAAATTATTCCCAGGTTGAAAAGTCGTAGTTGTGAACGCGACCAACTACATGCAAGTACCACCTGTTCCACCTTTCGAGGCGATGAGGCTAATAATTCGGACGCAGTACCCAATTTAATGTTTACTTTAGCGAGCTAGCGAAGGTAATACAGAGATAGATCAGGCCTATCCTCACATCGAGGTCCTCACAACGAATCCGAAACACACACATCCTTCCCCTTCCACCCAGAAAAACGAAATATCGGAGTATTATCGGCATCCGCGCTAGAAGAACTTAAATGTCAAACGTACATTTCACATCAGCGAGGGGCGAGCGGTCGCGTCGCGGTCATTGCGCTGGAGCGCTTTGAATGTGGCGGGAGAAGCTAGGTGCTCCTTCACTTTGCAGATATCTTTCTTAGATTATCACTTTACTATTGCTGACTATTGCAATGGCTTCGATTTCAGAACATGGAGTCTTTGTCCTGTTCGATTTGTGGGAAATTTATGTCAGCTTTCGATAATTATGTGAGACACTTGCGTCGTAATCACGGAGATATCGGAGCCCAAACAGCATCGGCCCTAGTGAAAGAGAGAAAGGAAGCAAGAATGGCATTGAAGCAGTACCAGTGCGATTTGTGTAACTTCAGGGGCTCGTCAAAAGATGCCGTGAGAATGCATAAAGCTAGGTCTGTGGCATAACCTTAGAGATAATATACGAAGCGATGTTTTTAAGGAATCATAGGCAGGCTCTCGCTCCACTTACAAATTTAAACGCAGATGCAACCAGCCAGAAGCAGGGTTTGGCATGCCCCCAATGCCTCGCAAATACTCGCGATACAAGAAGCCTCATCGAACATGCTCGTTTGGAGCATGAGTTTCAAGGCGACATTGTGACCAGAGTGTTCGATAACCATGCAGACTTCAAGGTGTGCATTGAGTAATGTAAGGGTGAAATAATCTGAAAGGCGGATTAAACCAGCTGTTTAGGTTTGGAAAGAGATGCACGAGCGCCTCACTGTCACATCGTGGTCATGTTACGCTACCCTCCCAAAAAATGGCTCTAAGACCAAATATTACAATTCCGGTAAGCCAATCCAACCTTGGCTGCGGATGCTGGGGCGTGTCAGGGGCTGTGCTTGGCGCGCCGCCAGTCCTTTCTCCACCAATTGTTGAAGTGGGCAAGCGACAACAATTGGTGGAAACCGGCTAACGCCGCGCCAAACGCAGCCCCCTTACACGCCTCAACATCTGCAGCGAAAACGACTATACATACGGGAATTTTCAGAGTCTTACTGGCTTGGGCTTGAAAAAGTCCATCATTTGGCTCCTCGGACCGGTGACAGTTGGATTTTACGGATTGAATTAAACGGAGATTACTGCGCGGTCATGGATGTATTGGCCAAAGTGACGGTTAATGGCGGGCAGAATGGCCTTTCAAGGTTCGTAGTTCACTTCCATTTACAAAATAAGCGGAAGAGCGGCGTGGT